CCCAGCCACTATCATGTGAAAGTTGTGACACACAAGCGACTGATGCTTACGTTCCAGAAGGGAAAACATGTGTGGATGTTAACAAAAACATTCCCATATTTACGGTATATAATCGACCGCGGGAATTTCTTGACGTCATTCTGTGAATTAAAAACGATCGGGATATGTTAGCAAGAGAAATTGAAAACTGAAATTGTAGCTTGAAAAAATGGTACTAGCAAGACGTGAAATTGCTAGGATAGAAAAAACCGAAAATAACCTTATGACAGTATTTTAAAATACATCAAAAATTACCTACTGAATAATAAAATGATCTAAATAAATTTGGAGCAAGAAAATAGACAAAAGATTTAATGACAGTTATAATTTTCTAATTCTTAAATTCTTATAAATTTTTGCAGCAAATATTTTTTAAAAGAATTTGAAATTTCAAGTTCAAATAAGAAATAAACCGAGCAAAAATATGAAAATATCGTGCGACAGACCGTTCATATTGGCTTCTTGCCAGTCTCATCTAACCGGATAAACCGAACATGAAGTGATTTTTTGATGGACAATTTCAAAATTTTAGTTGATCAAGTGAGAAATCCAGATTTGAACATGTGAGAAATTCACACGCACTGTTTTTTTCTTATTGGTTTTCATAATTAACCCTTGGGAATTTCCCAGGCCCGGTTATCAATGTCTCATGTTGTCAACTGATCCGAATTGGACGAAACATATATAAGCGCTGGCAAACCACCGATCATGTCCTAAACCATCTACTTGTCTATTTTTGGTGCTACCGATTTTAGAACGCCAGTGCGTTTAATCAGGTATGCTTATCACTCATCTAAAACTGAATTTTTCTTTCTTAAATTTGCTAAGAAGAAAGTTATGCTATTAATTTCAGAATGTTAAATTCTTTTCCCTTTCAGGCTTCAATTGCCATAAAATTACTTTTCTTTCCAAAATTCAAATTACTGTAATTCAAAATTTCTGTGAATTTTTTTCAATTTAAATTTTAGATTATTGCAATTCTCTGCTGATTGCGTGTTCATTGAAATATTTCAAAGACTATGTCATCTGTTTGGAGAAATTTTATTCGCACCAGAAGGAAGAAGACAAGAGACAGACATATCAGGGAACTTCAAAATATTCGGGAACAGTTGCAGAAAGACTTATACTTTTGGCACACTAAGTAATATTTCACTAATTCCCGATGAATTTTTTAATGAAACTACATGGCTAGAAATATGTTTAATACGGCAGTTTTACGTTGGCTAAACTGATTTGATAAATTCGTTTTAAATTTTCATTCCTTTTGTCCTAAATTTTTTATCGGAACTTGTTTTTTTAATTTATTAGTAGTTAAGCTCATTTTGTACTGTGTACTCGTGCTTTTGGCTCAGGCCTAATTTCCACGTTCCTTTATGTTTCCTTTTCCTTTCTTCAAAAACAGCCTTCTAAATTTGATATTTTTCAGAAACAACAAATCTGTTGCAAAGTTTGTAATTTTTATAACAATGAAATGTCAACATCTTTTAGATTGATCGAAGAGAAAGCACTGATCGAATCATTGCAGAATTATATTACTTCTTTATCAGACGAAGTGGAAGATGCGAAAGATGCGCTTTTCAGCGAAATTGATTATGAGTAAGTTTTAAAAATAATTTTAAGAGCAATTTTTGCATTTTCTATCAACTTTTAACTATTTTTTAAAAAGGTAGCGGATTAAAATTTATGACATAATTTTTTGAAGATTTTCTTTTCAGTGTAAATTCATTTTCACTTTAGATCATTTCCAATGGAATGTGAAATGATTGTCAAAATGCAAACTCAGATCGAAATTGGGAAAAGGAAGTGTAAACAAATTAACAAACGTATAGAAAATGTAAGCGTCTTGAAAATTTTTTCTTACAGATTTTTAGAAGTAAAAGAATTTAAGTGTTTTAGCTTCGTTAAATCAAATTTAAGTATCACTGAAAGCAAAACTTAATTATTGAAATGTGTCTAATGCTAAAAGAGATGGAACTGAATACGACTTCTATCTTTCAATTGAAAGATTGAACTTTGAAACATAAACATACATCCAATCTCTCTAAAATCTCACAATCAATGTTGCTATCCTTTAGTATTACCAATTTACTGTAAAATTTTGTTGCCGCATTTAACACGCAAAGTATGCTTAATTTCAGTGTAAAATGCAACAGTCGATAATGAGAAAACAATTAAATGAAATGAATTTACGTATTGAAGAAAACAACAAATATAAAATTGATCTTCTTCAGCGAAAGGAAAAAGCTGATAGGATTGCTTCGTACTGGAGAAATCGAATAGTTCAACAAGAATCGAATAACAACAATAATGCATCTTCACAGTTGAATGTTGTAATCAATCCGATAGACGTGATTTTATAAGTTATTAAGCATTACCTATCATCAAGAATATTTTTGCTCCTACGATTAAATTTGGATTTATATTGTATTTTGCATTAGTTTATTGTTTTAAATTTACACCCTTAAATTTGCATTTTTACTAAATTCTTTAGATTGTTTATATCTATTACTCTGACTTTTATTTTTGATTTTCTTGCTTTATATTTATACATTTGATGACTAATTAAGATGTCCTTATTGTACATTTAGTCCATTAATGTTTGTTAACTTTATTTGGTCAGTTGTTTCTGCAAAGTTTTTGTTTTCGTCCCATTCTTATTTTTAGTTTAAATTCGCTGTAGTACTAAAAATTTCAAGATTTTTCAAACTTAATATTTTAATATCTGTGTATTTTGTTATTTGATCGTTTTAGTTTTTAATTTTATGCTTTTTTAAATATTTTCATATTTTCTTATTATTTTTCTATTTTATGTTTATACTTTTGCATTATGTACCTGTCAAATACTTTACAAATGATATCTTAATTGTTTCTATCCTTCCAAAATTTGTTTAAATCGTTAAATTTTCGCCAGTACAAAATTGGAATTTTCATTCTTAAAAGGTTAGACTTTTTGAAATTGATGCCTAAAATAAAATTATGATAAACTTCGGTATTAGAGAATCTAATTTTCTTACCAAATCCCTATACTAAATTTTTATTCCAAATACCCCGAATTTTTCCTTATTCTTATCCTAAAACTTTCTATTTTTTTAAAGCTCTGGAAAATTTTCAAAACACCTATTTCCGGTACCTTTTCATGCAGTGTAAATGTAAAACATAGCATACTTGTAAGCTCTAGGCTTCATTAATTGTTTGAAATTAAAATTCGGTCTGCTGCATGTCATTGGTTAAATTCACAGATTACAATAATTACATTCTCTTTTAAAGGAATTCTTTCATATCAAACGTCTAATCGTTCCGTTTTTCTTAATCTTATCTGATTAGAATTATTTCGGCATTAAATATGCACATCTTGCTATGGTACTGTCAATATTATAACCCATTAGGTCTACCTGTTTTTTAATAAAAATGAAATAAAAATATTCAATCACTCAAAATCAATTTAATCAGAATTTAAATCTGAAGAAGTAGATAGACCATATTTTTTCAATAGTCTACGTAATCACAACAAGCGAGTAACAATTCTCATTACTATTTTTAAAGATAGAATTTCGGAAACTACAAGTATTTTTTATTCCCTGGTTAAGTCATTTTAAATTCTGATAATTTAAAATTAAGAAATCACACTTACTTGTGCAATCACATCTCATTGTCTCTTGAGCTGCATAAATTGGTACATTTCATTTCTGTTAGCCGGAAATTTTAATGCCTGTTGAAAACCCGAATTTAATCCATAAGGCACATAACCATATAAAATTCATGAAAAATAATTTTATGAAAATTTATAAAATTATTTTGATAATTAAAAGATTATATATCCCTGTTTACGAAGAAACATATGACTTAAATATCTGGAAATAAATGTCTTAATCAACTGTAATCATGTTTATGAAATTTCACATTGTTTATCCCAAATTTAGAGTTTACTTGAATCAGTTTTATCTTAAAACCGTTTTTGTCAAATACTAAAATTGTTATTCATTGTGATCTTTGATGTCCAAAATAGATATATAAACCCATATCTTATGTGACCCTGCGCTTTCATCAAAACAGTGTATTTTCTTAGTATCTGTTTTAAACCAATAAACAAGATCACCAGCTCTAGCAATCACCTTTTCTTGGAACGAGAGCTAGGATCAAACTGAAGTGGCCATTCACGCTAATCCAAACAAATCCAACGGAAAGTAATCTGATCGAACCATCAACTCCATATGCTAACTTTATAATGTCTCTGGAAATAAATGTCTTAATCAATTGTAAGCATGTTTATAAAATTTCACATTTTTTATCCCAAATTCAGTTTCAACAAGATCACAAAACGGACTCTTCTAAACCAATCAAATCCAATTAAGCAAAACATTCACGACAACGCCAACTTAAAAGACCACCAAATTAGAAAATCATTAGCCATATGGTATTCAGAGATATTACAGTATTTAAATGTTAATGGAACGTGTAGAATGTGACAGAATCATCAAGAATGAGATCAAGTTTTTGGGATAATCTTGGAGTAACGTAGCAGTGATTCATTTGTGAAATACAACATCATTGACAGTAATAAATGAATTCTGATTGCTAATATTTGATTAATGTAAAGAACACTGCAAAAAAGGACGAGAATATCGATAAAAATAATGCATAATAAAATGGGAAAATCAGTAAATATGAAAGAAGAAAATAAGAAATAGAATAACGAAATTCCTTATTTAAATCGACTTTTTTTCTTTCTTTTTTTAGCTAATTTTTTTTTGATTATTCTGCACAGTCAATCCCATACTTGTTAAAAGTTTCTGTTGATATTAATTTCTGTCATTATTATTATTAGCAGTGAAATTAGAAAGAAATCACAACAAAAAAATTTTTGAAAATTTTCAATGCATTATTTATTTTTAATATCAAACTAAAGTATTATTGATACACTTCTGTTTAATTATAATATATTCCATTTTTTCCCAAATTTCAACTTCAAAATTCTTAATGATTTCAACAAATTTTGTTCTGCAAAAACTTCTTCTGAAATCTCTCTTTGAATTCAGCATAATTTCGATCTGTTTAAATCAAACATAACTTACATCATTGTCTTCATCAGTAAAATAGTTCACTTTTTATCAGTAAAATAATTGGATATTGCAATTCTTGAATGCATTTGTAATCTTTCAACATTGTTGGACCTTCAATCTAAAAAATTGAAATATTTCATTAGAATTTAGAATTGTTTATTTCAAGAAATTGCAGCAACATTTCATAAATTAACTTCATAAATTGTAAGTAAGAAAAAAAATTTTAAATTTACCATGTGAAATAAATAATCAAACATTGAAGTACGGTCAAAATTCTATTGTCGTTAATTTATTGTTAAAGTTCAAATTTTAAGGGTAATTTTAGAATGGAATAATTTTTAGAATTATCTATTATATGAAATACTAATATGTTTTGTTCAACCTACAAGTTTATTTAAAAAAATAAAAATTACAACGATTCTTTTCAACATTTATTCAATTTATCCTTAAACGATTGAAAATTCAGCAGAATAAATTTAGATAATTTTAATTACGTACTATTTTTGCACTTTGATAAAAGACGCGTTTCATTTTTTCCGCCGATGCAATACTTCAGGCGTTGCTCGTTGGAACGATTGGAATATCCAGTATCCTTCAATCCGTGCTATCATTCCGATAGCGATTTACACCCACGAAATCCATCTCGTGTGTGTTATCAGTTTCATGTCGTGTTGATAACAGATTGCAAGAAGGAGCTATTCAAACAAACTTTTAAATCTCTTTATAACCTCCACTGCAGTTTTAAAATTCGATAGATTTTGCAACTGAAAAATAAAAGTTACAAAAGTGCTCCTCGTAAGATTTTAATGGATGGAAAATGATTCCCTCTTTCCACTCTCTCTCTCTCTCTCTCCTGTTTAACTAAGAAATCTTATCAGATTAAAATTCACCAAAGATCGGGATTGCTGTGGCACTGTTTGCTTTCAACCTAAAAAAATATTTTCTCTCCAAATGTATCACGTTATCACCTCGTTATTTCCAAATAAACCCGAATTAGTTAAACTCTAAAATTATTAAATCCTACTGTATATTATGTTGATACAAATAAAGCCAAGCATTGAGCATGATAGTGATGCGTCCTTCTGTGATAATAAATTATCATTCTGATTTCTGGTAAAAGATTGTTGAATGAATATTGTTAGGTAAGGCGTTGTAATATGTACGATTAATTTAGCATCAAATCATAATTAAATAAGTTGATTGAATTGAAAATAAAATGGTAGACAGTTAAAGAAAATTTGATATTGATTTTTGCAAAAGTATTGATGAAATGATAAATTAAGAAATGAATGAACGAAGTAAGAAAACGGAGAAAGAGGGAAGAACGAGAAAATTAGAAAATGGATTTTTTCAAACCAGACACGCACAAACATATTTGTTTAATTTAATTTTAATCATTTTGCAGTTTTCAATGTTCATTTACCCTTTCTGCAACTAATACTATCATCTTAACTTATAACAATTATAATGAGCCAAATAATGATTAAATCTGAGCCAAAAATAGTAACAATAACACATTAGATAATGCCATCTCTCTCTCTTAGCAATAAAATGTCATTTATTCTCCTTGTAACTTTTGATCATTAATCATCTTTTCCAGTTGGTATTTAATTGGACAAGATAATAGAGTATTCGATTATTCAAATTTATACCTTCTTATCATGAAAATTTAACACTTAAGAAGTGACCATTCTCTCAGGCTAACTGGGAGTGAAAAAAGTTAAAAAGAAGCTCGTTGTAATGTACTATTGAAGTAAAATGAAATTTCTTGTTAGAAAAGGAATTATTGTGGGATAGCATTATGTAAGAGAATGAAATTTTGCAAGGAAATGAAAGGTTTCAAAATGAATTGATGATAAATCATTCAATTCTCGCCGTTCCTACGATCCACACATTTTACGGAAAATATCTTAAGCAATTTCTGTCCACGAAATTTGTTAAATTTGTTCATACTGTGCTTAGACTCGTTAAATTTTCCCTCATACGTTTATACGTATGATGAAGTATTTTAAGTAGGTTCTATTGACAAATTTACTTAAATATTTAGATTTGCTCAAATTATGCTTCAAACTCTTGCAGTTTATATGGTCATATCTTTTGTAACAATTATTATCAAACAATTTCAACCGGTAAAATTGATTTTAGTGCTTAAACTTGCTTCTACTATTTCTGCGCTTAGAATTTTGATATATTTTATTACTAAAAATAGAGAAGTTTAACATAGTCAGAAGATTAAATTTCACTTTTTTTAGAAAAGAAACAAATGCTTGGAGAGCGAATTGGCGGGGTTATACATAGAATATGTAAAGTTAAAATCGATTTTATGTATTTCCTGCAGTTCAGCACATTGTAATGTTATTTTTACAAATATGTCGCAAAATGGCTTGACACAGCTATCGTTTACATTCAAAAATTTAAAATTGGACAAAATGTTGTTTTAACATTTAATTTAGATTGAAAATCGTGATTATTCAGTTTGATAAAGAGCATTTCGCTGTATTCCTCTTTCAGCTCATTTAGGTTTCACTATTTTCAAAATTTAACTTCGTTGAAAAAGAACAATGGCTTAATTTCTTTTCTTCTTAAAATTTTTTGAAAATAAAACAAAAATTCAGGCGAATCACTCTGTTTGCATGTCGTGAAAAAGTTTGAGTAGAAACTAGAAAGGCTTTGATCAGGAATGATAAAAACTAGGAATGAAAGTGAGTCAATTTTAGTCAACACTATGTTTTGAGATTGTCCGAACATTGTCTGACTTGACCGAAACAAACGGCGATGCTATCTTAGCTTGCTCGTTTTAAAATTTTAAAATGTCTGCTTTTTCCGGTATTTTTAGCAATGTCGCTAATTCTCTGCATTGTTGAAAATAAATTCCACTCATAATTTCATCCATTACAATTTATTTCATTATACTTTATTTTATACGGCAATAAATAATTGATTGCTGCATGAAATGTGTTCACAATCATTTATCTTCCCATCTCTTTCTTACCTTACTTTGTACCGGAACAATATTTCGGTTTGTTTACCGGCATAATAAATAGCTTGAATTTTTTGAATTGCATTTCCTTCAAATGGCAGTTCACTATCCTTAAGCATATTGTAAATTTCTAACTTAGATCCATTTGAATCGATATTATATTCAAGCCTATAGTTTTATAACATATTTGGATCGAATTAGCAAAATATTATTTAAAAATTGAGTTAAATATACTAAATTTAATGAAGACAAAATTGGAAATATATTCTTTATTTTAAACAGTGAAACAGTTGGCAAATCAAGAAGAACAAACTTCAAGTTTCTTCTTCTTTTTTAATTTTCAATTTATTGGTTTGATATATTTTAAAAAAATGAAAAAAAAGATGCATGTAATTTAATAATATATTACTGAATGGAAACAAAAATGAGTCAATCATACATCAATTAAAACTCACATGAATTGCTTGTAGTGTAAATTTGCAATAAGGATAATAGCTTTGGAGCATAATTCATGCAATCGATGATGAGCGCTCAAGCTAAGATACCGTAATACAATATCAATATCCAACTTTTCCCATTGCTACAAATATGATTTTAGCAAATTAAAAATTGAAGTGCTAATTAATTTATGCAAACCATAATTACGGTTTTTCATATGCGCAATTTAAATAAAAATCAAACAGAAAATAAAGCAAAAATTTCAAACAAAATCTTTTAAAAAAATTTCAGAGTTGAATTTAATATTTAATCTGTATATCAAATATTAAATGATTGATTATTGTGCAGGAAGATTGCTTTACATAAATGAAAGGAAATTTTTTGAAAAAAATAAAAATAATGACAAATTTCTTCACAGAACTATTGAAATTAATTTCGCTGATATCAGAGAAGACAGAATTTCCACTCATTTGAATGAAGAAAAGAAAGAAGGCGAAACCTCGTTTAGCTTATTCCGAAGGCCATCGGTGATGTGATGGATGAGTGTCCAGAAGCCCCGGGGTTGAAATGCTCGAATGCATCGGATAAAATCATCCAAAACATCCGGTGGTGCATCCATCATGTCAAAAGAACCTTTTAATGCATAATTTATCATCTGCAAAGAAATACTGAATGTGACATAGAAAGATTAACATAAAATTAAACAATTCAAGAAAATGAAAAATATTTTTGTGTACATGAAGAAAATGGAGAGGAAATATATCACTTCATAAACCACCATAAAAATGATCCCGAAGTTCTCCATTCTGATCTCTAAGAGCTCAGATTATATTTTTCAGTTTATATTTATTTTTAACCAAGTTCCGTCTAACAGTTCATTAATTAACGATTTACAATTTACCAAATTTGTATATGCTTTCAAGAAATTTTAAAACTACTACAATTTTCTTCCTCTAGCGTGCTTCCTTTCTAAGATGAGAAAAATAGGAGAGTTACCACGATTAATTTAGACATCTCTGAAGCTATTGCTTGTTTAGGTATCTAAGACAAAGACATATTTGTCAACTTCCATCGTTGCATATTTTGCAATGTTTAAATTTCGTCAAGTTCCAGCAAAAAATCATATGAGCACAGTTTAGAAGTGTAAATAAAATTGTGATGCAGTAAACCTGTTGAACTGATTTTTTCCGATATTCAATTACAATCGATTTAATGTCCGGATTAGCATCCACTTCGTTATGGATCCGATCAATTGTCAAATATAGTAAATAACGTACTGTTTTAATTGTACCATCTTTGGTGTATATTGTAAAATCACTTAAAAAGAGAAATGATGACGCTTAACGAGCGTCCATTAAATATGGTAATTAAATAATTAGTTTAGTCATTAATAATGTGGAAAGGAAAAGCACAAAATATAATTTATATTGTACGAGGAAATTCTTTTTTGAACAAACATACGGATTTTTAAGAACTTTAGCGCACATCACGGAACGGTAATCATTATTGGGAAGATTTGCTGGTATGTTAGGTGTAACGAATGCCGTCGAGAACAGCCAAGGATAAACTTGAATAAATTCATGTGCTTCAAATCGCAATTCGTAACGTAATTTTAGTACGCAGTCAAAAAAATCTGGTGAGTCCAAAATGTTCAAAATTTTTGTCAAAAATTCCGAATTCCATACATCAATTAGGTTTCTTTCAAACATTAATTCGGTTGATATTTCTACAATTAAACTTCTTTTTCACTTACAAATGGAAATACTTATGAAAGAAAATTTTTATATGAAAAAAGAAACTAAACTATTCACCCACCCACATTTCGTTTAGAAATTGCTTTCGCGGAAATTTTATATTTTCCCTGTGGTGGAATCGAATAGGAATCGGTGGAGTTCACCGCAATTGTTGTATAACCCGAAAAGCATATCGACCTAAACTTGATATTTGTAAATCAGAAATCAGTCAAAATATCAGATATTCTGTGAAATTCACAAGTGTTGTCGTAAAATAATTATTAAAATGAGAGTTCAGACACGACAGAATATTTCTCCCGAAGATTTAAACTATCTGAGAAAGGACCGGTAGAAAAAAGATCAAATGATTGCAGGACTGAGAGGAGGAATCTTTTCGAAAGAAAGTACCTAACTATACAACTGCAAGTTTTCCCGGGGTCCAAACTATGAGGGCACTTCTTCGTTCTCTGAAGATACGTTAATTCAGGCAGAAATAGTTATGGAAGGATACAAAATGTGACTGCTTGATTCTTTAGTGGTAGGAAAAAATTAGCTATTCTCGAACTGACCAAAAAATAGTTTTAGATTTTCATAAATTAGCATAAACTCAAATGAATTTAACGTAAAGAATGGATTAAATTACTTGTTAAATTTGTTTTTTCCTAGTAATTTTGAAGAAATTTTATTTCAATTGCATTTAAAAAAACAAAGCGTCTGGAAATAATTGAATTTTTTGTTTTTTCATCGTTTCGTGATTTGAATTATTTATTTGCAGTAATTCAACTATTATTGAAGGATTTTGAAAATAAAGAACAAATTTTTTGCATTTCTACACTTCTTAATGATTCTCTTATATTAACTCTTTCTTTGCCACTTCAAAAATTTCTAAATACCTCAAAAACAGAATATTTCTCGGAAATTATAATATTTACAGTCGGAGTAGACAATCATTGCAATGTCTTTAATGTATAACAATTATTTCGTACTGATTTAGAAATCAATTAGTAAAAATATGAGATACCATCGGACAGAACGTGGACCATAATTAGTGTAGAAATTTGCCGATAAATTGAATATCGAATTTTCTTGAGCAGAGAGTTTGAATAATTTTTTATGAATGAATATCAATTCTGTTAAGGTACTTTCTGGTTTTGAAATTATTGCCAATTCCATTTTCCAATATTGTAAATTTAGATAAACTACAAAAAAAAAGTTCCTTCCATCATTTGATTAAAATCAGTCTACCTACCGTGAGAGAAGCTTAGATTTTAGAATTAAAAAAACATTTGTTGTAATAGCTCAGCTAATTTAAGGGCCTAAAATTTTGAAAGCATCATGAAATTTATTTATCAAAAACGTCATAAAATTTATTTATCATTCTTAGTTACAAAGATTAGTTAAAGGTAGGCGGACATGAATCTACAAATAAATTACTTGTTTTTTCCAAAATTTCGGAACGATAAGTTCGGAACAGTTCCGTTAACCGCGCGGAATTGAACAAATAGAAAGAATGCTTGATGGGCGCATCGAAGTAGCATTTGAATATTTCCAAATGTCATTCTCTATGCAAATAAGTGGCTATTTTGAGCAGCGTTAAGCTAATCGAGAAAAAAAAAATTATCCCTTTATTGAACGTTAAGCTATTCCAAAAAAAGGGAAAATCAAATTTATGGAAAAATAAATAAAGACAAATCGGGCATCGACTGAATACGGAAGGTACGGAAGGAAAATGCATTTAAAAGGAAACAAATAATTAACAAGAAATCAAATCAACCGACAAATTACTCTTGGCCAATTGTTTTCACTTTTTCATTGGATATTTCAAATATCTTCAAAAGTCACTGAAAGAAGTTTTTAATGTAAACAACTTTTCCTTCATAAAAAAATATTCATTCAAGAAATCTGCATCTACAAGAAATTCACGCATCCACTATTTAGTAATTTGTGATAAATTTACAATTTCTCATAAAAAAGTTCCGAAATCGCTTTTTTCAAATCTCAAAAAATTGTTATTACCGAAGCATGCACGGAAAATTTCGATAAGTAGAAATTTTAATGGTGACTGGTAGAAGAGAGAACTGTTGACAGTTCAAAGTATGGGTAATTTTTGGGGGGAACAATTAAATGATTATTCCTGCACACATGATATTCGATCCTACCCGGTCTTGAAATCAGAATAGATGATGTATCGATTATTCTAGTTACAATGATTAGTACAAAATAATCATAAAAAACAGAAATAAAATTAAGTTTAGAAAAAGAAAAAGAACAAATGTACAAAATTTCAACAAAAAAATAACGATATTTAGTAGATAAGTCATCAAAATTAATAAAAATTCGATCAAAAATTTTCACAGAACAATAGCAGTTGTGGCCATCTCCTTCACACCGCAAACGTTTTTGCCCCGATATAATCGATAATATCCGTTTTCACCCCATTTTGTACCCCAGCTATTCTTAATAATCCAATACGGTTTATTTGCTTCTTCGCCATAGCCAACAATTAGAACACCATGATTTAAATGTAGCGGTGGACAGAATACTTTCCATGGATGTGAGATTCCATGCCGATAGAACTGTAATGGGCTCGCGTTCACACCTGAAATATTAAATTTAAACTTCCATTTTTTGATTTGTTAAAATTTTTGAACTGTTTTTTGAAAATTTCTACTTGAAGAATTTTATTCAATCTTACACTTGTTTCTCCAACTAAAAGAGTTGATTATCTCATGTTCAATATCGATCCTAAGCAATTTTCAAAAGCCAGTAATCCAAATTAGATAATGTTTATCGTTATCACCGTTACTGTGGGATATGACGAATAGAAGCATTTTTGTATTACCACTTAGTAATCATTTACGTTCGATCAACAATGATAAAAATAGTACTAAAAAATGGGAGCAGTTTAAATTCCTTTTCAAAGAATGGAATGTTCACACATGACAAAGAGATAAAAACTGACAAAATAAATGGGCAAATGAGTAAAAATGGAAAGAAAAACACTCATAATAAAAAACAGGGATAAAGAGGAACAATGAAAGAATTTGCTTAATTTAAATAATCAAATAAGCTAGTAGAATTATTTCTCAAAAGCGGGCAATTTTTGTACGAAATGAATATTTCCCTGATATTGACAAAATTTGAATTGATTTACTTTAAATATGAATATGTCGTAAAACATTAGGGTAACGAGATAGTAAAACGATTAGTGATTTTAATATTACAGTACATAAGTTTCAAATATTTTCAGCAATAGACAATGTCCTAACCAACTATATGTTTATAAAAAAGAAAAAAAGGAGTGAGTCGTACAGAACACACTGTACTACATTTTAGTTTTTATTTACTTCATACATTCACTTAATATCAATATTTAATATTCAATATCATATTTGTATTTGAATGAGTAGTATTGCTATACATACATGAATTGATGCATGTATGTATAGCAATATTATTCATTCAAATATTTTCAAAAAAGGCGGAATCTTGAAGTTCAAAACTAAATTGTATAATTCATTCAGACAACTTTTCATGAATTATTTTATATGAAGCAAATGAAGAAAAAGAAATGATAAATGTAAAAAAAAATGTAATTTTCTTTTATATTTTGCAAGGTATCGTAATTTTAGTATAGTAAAAAGTAAAAAAAAAATAGTAAAAAAAGTTTGCTGAATTCTTATCTAAACAAGTGAACAATTTTCTTGTCATAAAAAGAAAAAAATTATGATATATG